AACTATACAATGGATTATTACTCAATGATTAAAAAATGGATGTGGAGGAAACTTAAATTCATATTGCTAAGTTGAGAAGCCAACCTGAAAAATCGTTACATATTGTATGATTCTAAATATATGACATTCTGGAAAAGGCAGAACTGTGGAGACAGTAAGAGCAGTGGTTGCCAGTGGCTCAGGGAGTGGGGAGGGAGCGTTGAATAGGTGTAGCAGGCAGTGAAACTCTTTTGTGTGATACTGTAATGGTGGATACACATCATTATACATTTGTCAAAACCCATAGAATGTACACCACCAAGCATAAGCCCTAATATTGACTATGAATATCTCTAATAATAAAAGCATAATATGCAAATTGACCGAAGGGCCGAGCAGCTGAACGACTCTCCAGGCGACCTTCTGGACGACCTTCTGGATGAAGCCGGGGCTGCGAGGTCTGAGGCAGCTGGGCTGTGAAGGCCTACTCTTGCACGAATTTCATGCATCGGGCCTCCAGTTAGTTAATAATAATGTATCAGTGTTGGCTCATCAATTGTAACAAATGTACCACACATTGCAAAAGTTAATAATTGGGGGGGGCAGACTATGTATGGAAGGGGAAAACTGTGTGTGTGTGTGTGTGTGTGTGTGTGAGAGAGAGAGAGAGAGAGAGAGAGAGAGAGAGAGAGAGAGAGAGAAGGGTTATAGGTTATATGGAAACTCTGTGCTTTCTGTTCAATTTTCCTCTAAACCTAAAACTGTTCTAAAAATAGTCTATATTTTTAAGGAAAATATAGTGCAGAATGAATAGGTTCTCTGGGTCAGACTGCTTAATCTGCTTTTGCAGAATAATAACTATGGGGATTTAAAAAGAATTCAATAACAAAACACAGGTGTCACAAGATCTCATTTCCAGACACCCCTAGTCCCTATGAGTATAAGAGCAGTAACTACTGGAATTAGAGTAAAGAGAGGAGGGAGAGCGATGACTCAAACTGACTAAGAAAATACACAATCCCCTTCCTACTCAGGGATGATGAGTCAGATTTTACATTGCTGGGTATTTTTTTGCAATGTGTTTGTAGTTTTCAACACACTTCCACTTACGTGATTCCTGATCATATATAGCATTCCATGTGCTTCCCACTGCCTATTAAGCTCAGTACCTCTGGGGCACTTTGCAGCTTTTTATTATGCCCTTATAATCTATCATTGTGATCTTTCCTGCTCCCCTTACATAGGATTAGAAAACTTCCCTCAGTTAATACAGTGAGTGTCCATTGGATCAGATTCTTAGAGCTCGAGGGACTTTAAAAATTATCTTTAACAACAGGTTACCATATAACTACATAGAGACCCAGATATACCAAGTGCCTTAACTAACTGGCTGGAGAAATGGAGAAAGAGGAGGTTCTTTCCACTACCAAGCCTGTTTTACCTGCCTAGCCCCAGGGGAATCCTAACAACAACCTGAAATAAGACTTCCACAGCCACTCAGTCATTAATTCATCTATTCCTCCTTAACTTCATCTCCCAAGTCAGCCCTTTGCTCTTCATTGACACCAATATTCCAAATCATGTTCTTAACTCCCCATATCTTTATTATACCATAGTCTTCCTGAAGGGTTCTGTTCTCTCTCTATTGCAATGCCAATTATTAGGAACTTCAGTTAATTCTTCCCTCAACACAGATATTTTCATGGCTCTTTTTTTTTATAAAAAACTAAATCCCAAATCTCTCAACAGAGTATTTAAGGGACTACACAATTTGATTTTTTCCTGACTTCCATAATCATGAGTCTAATAACCATTTTGACTATTTTCATTTCTTGTTTTTCCCTCCCTAGCATATAACAGGCAACCTCTCCTTTGTATCTTTTTCACACTGTCCTCTCCTGGAAATGGTCCCTGTCTTAGTAATTTTGGGCTGCTATAAGAAAATACTATTGCCCTGGCCAGGTGTCTCAGTTGGTTGGAGCATCATCTTATACATCAAAAGGTCACGGGTTTGATCCCTGGTCGGGTGCATATAAGAGGCAAAGGATCAAATGTTTTTCTCTTGCATCCATGTTTCTCTCTCTGTCTCTCCCCTCCTCTCTTAAAAAATCAATGAAAATATATCCTCAGGTGAGGATTTAAAAATAAAATAAAATATTATAGACTGGGTGATTTATAAGGAACACACATTTGTTTCTACAGTTTTGGAGGCTGGGAAGTCCAAGAGCAAGTCACCAATAGATTCAGGTCCCTTGGTCTGGCCAGCACCCTCTCAAAATCCAGGACCTCTCAGGGGATGTAGGAGAGCTAGTTTCAGCCCAATCCCACAGGCCAGGCTGAGAGACCCCAATGGTGCAGGGATTCGTACACCAGGCCTCTAGTTGAACTATAAGCTTTCAATCCTTAAGTTTGCTATATAAGTTAAAAGATTATCATAATCAACATTTTCAAGCTTACACACTGGAATACAAGGTATTCCATAATGATATTACTAACAGGAAAAAAAAAACACTTGCTTAATCATTGTTAATTCAAAGGAAGACACATATTTACTTTTCTATTCAAAATGAATAATAAAGTAAATTGACTCCATAAATATTATTGAAGGGGTAATAAAATGTTTACCAAACATATAAGTCAGATCATAGGGGGTATTCTGTATCTACTCCAAGTGTCATAAAAGGCAAATGGGTAAAGAGTTTACTATATAATAACATATAACACTAGGTATTAATGTATAGTTTTTATTAATTTCTGAATCTTCATAAGTTAAAGGAGAAGGAAATGGAATTATCCCACATAATATATTCTAAAAAATATAATTTACCTATTTTGATAAAGATTTTTAAAAAATTTTGGATTTAATAATCTGGTTTAATTTTCCCCTTTAGCACTTATTGTATTTACCATACACTATATTTTACTTAATTACTTTGTTCATCCTGTTTTCCCATTCCTGCCCCTGGAATACAATCTCATGAGGGCAGCTGTTTTTCAAACACCTGTCATTTCAGTGGCTCTGAGGCTTACAACAGTACATGGAGCAGACAAAATGCCTTAAAAATATCTACTTTAATAAGTGAATGTTTCCCAAAGAGTTATGATGCAGAGTCATAGAATTAGGAGAAATTATATAAAATAAAGATTTTAAATGTGAATTTGGGTTTAAAATCATAAAGAAAAATCACCAAATACCAGAAGTAGAAAAGGTTTCTAAATAGAAAAGGATCTCATTACATTGTCTCATTTTATAGATATAAAACTTAAGGCGTGAAGAGATCAAGCGATTTGTCAGATCACGGAATTTTTGTACTAAAAGACACCTTAACCGTCGTGGAGTCCAAATATTCAGGTGCGTAGGGCAAATCAGCTTATGTTTTAATACCTGCAGTGACAGGATGAGTTCACCACCCTATAAAAGCATCATATGTAGTTTCTTAAGAACACTACTTGTTAGAAACTTCTTTCTCATATATAATTAAGAATTGTACTTCTGTGCTTGAATTCTTTAGTCCTAGTTATAGCTTATGGATATACACAGTATATCTAGTCCAGGGAATTATTTTATAGATAGATAGATAGATAGATAGATAGATGATAGATAGATAGATGAATGTAATGTTAATGCTAAATTTGAGGACTTTTATGTATGAGAATTTTGGGCCAAATAGTCTTCTTGCCTCACTCTTCCTCTAACACCTCTTTGTCTCCTGCCTTTGCCTCCTGTCACATACATATATATAAATACCTATTCACATATGCATACACATAGAGAATGTATATATTGTTATACACATACACACATTATATTAGAATCATCACACAGAAAGGTG